CCGTCGTTTGCTTTGGTCACGTGGTCTAGTTACAAATTTTAAAAATCGAGTGGCTCTGGGGATGAGAATGCGGTCCCGTGTGCTGGTTAGCATGATTGCGTAGTTACTTCCGCCTTTACGGCAACTTTTAGTGAACGCTCCATGCTTGTTGATCATCCCAAGCTTTTACCTCGAGGCTCGAGCAAAGAACACTAAAGAGCTTTTTGCCAATTTCGTAGCCACAGTAGTATGGTCGTTCGTCGAGTTAATGGTACGTATGATTTCCTCAAACTTAAGGTTAATGTTTGTTATTCGCGTGACGGAATAGCAACTGATCCAATTGAATCGAGTTGAAAATGGCTCTTCTCAGCCGTATGTGACGTCTGTGATCAGCGTCAATTTATGCAGTTTAAAAACAATAAACAAAAAAGCACATTTCTAGCATTTTTGCCCTAGTGGTTCCCAGATATCGTTCGATTTCTAATCACTGGTCACCGTGCTTTAATACGGTGCAATTCAGAAACTCAAATAATTGATCTTTTGCCCGGTACGTATCGCATACGCGAGGTGCTGTATGTGCATTTAGCTTAGACCACAGTTTCAAGCAGGGCGGATAAAGGTTGAAGTGAAACGAGCGCGTCCGACCAAAAAGGTGTGATGCAGTGGAATGAACTCTCGTTAGAAATGTCGCCTGTTTTCGACTTCGGTCATGATCAGGGCTTGCGATGTGGTTTGTCCATTAGACACTGCCGCTGTAACTGAATTATGGCGCCTTGAGTGGTTTTCTTGCACTTCTTTCTCGCTCCTTTGTGCTGCTATGCTGTCTCCGAGAGGCAAATGTTGCGAATTTTTTGCGGGAGGTTTACTTGGAGTAGACAAACTTCTCTTTCAAATGGTTTTTCCGGTTACTTCCATGACTCTACCACTGAATTATATTTTCGTTCTATTAGTCGCCAATGTCCATGTTATTCCACAACAAAAACAACTAAAAGCTGTCTAAAACAGGAAGGAAAATCTCATCCATGGCAAAGCTAAGATACAGCAGATGGTGTTTCATAACTAGATGACGTGTATTTTATAAATGCGTGCAGCTCGTGCACGGTGTAATTATGCTAATTTCAGTCACCATCATCCTTCTTTTTAATTTTGGCATAACGTCTTTTTGTTTTTCCGGAACTTCAAAATTAGTTCCCCCTCAGTTTTTACTGTTTACTTTGATTTTTTAGAAAGAGAAAAACGGAGAAAAAACCTTACAATAAATTAACCTCAATAAATTTTGTTTACATGCGGTGGCCGGATTTGCAACGCATTGCGCTAATCGCCATCAGGGCGGATAAAGGTTTGCGCCCGAGAGTGTTTGAAGTAGTACAACGCCACTATATCGAAATATATCAAGCTAATTTTCTGTTATGTTATGTAAGATTTATCCCCCTTTAACATATGTAAAAATTAAGGCTAAGAAGTGTTAAGCTGCATCCGTGATTTTAAGCGAAATATCAAGAAGGTAGCTGATATATCGGATTCCCACACGGCAATCATGTAAAGCAGTTGTAATTAGTTTTAGTTTTAACTTAAGCTTAAGTGATGATTTCCCGTGTTTAAATAAAGATTTACATACATACATACATACAAGCTTTTGTAAACGAAACGGCGAAAGACGATTAGGTCCTATTTCGGCGGAAGGAGGAGGCATTCAACACTTTTATCGACTTTTAAACTGAACTCAAATTTTGGCATTATACGACCAACAAGTTTGACTTTTAGGCATACAGACATATTAAAATTGTTGTGAAAGGGATTTATCTATTTTACACTGTAGCGTGAAATAACAGAAAGAAAATAGGATTTCCGGGTTGCAAAAAGGAAAATTTCTCCGGCCACCGGAAGCGCGGAAAGAGCGCTCATATACTCATAGGTTTTAAATGTTTAGTCAATTCGAACTACTTTAATTAAAGTTAAAAGTATTCAGAAAATCCAAACAGTTTTGGCATAGTACGTTCACAATTTTTCTGAAGAATTCTGGGTTCAAAATCGCACTCTTATGGTGGTAGCAAAGGGTTTACCTGGGGGAACGCAACGCGATCCGTGCAACCAGTCATGCATGTGAGGCGTGATTTATCTTCTAAGATGTGCTTTTATTTCCCTTTGGTACCCTCTCTTATGCCTCGTATTTCTGCTATATCATTTGATTTGTTTAAGTAATAAAATAGTCTTCGACGGTTTCCTTAAACTTCGTCCCAATTTTTTCTCGGAGAGAAAATTATCTGTCGTCTCGCTTGCGTCGAAGGAGTGTGCTTGATAGCCAAAGAAAGATGAGCGAAACCTAACCCGTTTGAACTTAGCGAACCGAATGGTGTCAAGTGTATTAAATGAAAGCGGGACAACCTCAGACAAAACACTCTGGAAATTTTGCAGCCGTCAGTCGTATTTTCTATTTGCACTGAAATATTTTGTTTATTTACTTTATTGCTGTTTATAATTAGAAACATCAAAACATAAATACTGAGATGAAAGCTAATAAGCTATCCGTAAATATATATATAAAAAAGACTAGCTATGTTATTTTCAAATCCGTCGGGTAATCGGTGGATATATATTTTTTTCTGGGTGATGATTTCTTCGAGAGAGCCAGTTTCTTAACCTCTTAGGATTACTTAGACGAAAACCTTTCTTGGAAATTTCACCTCCATAATATTTTGTAAAAAAAAAAAAAAAAAAATTATATATATTTATATACAAGTCCCCTGGTACATTTTTAAAACTTCTTTTTTTTTTTTCTCTTTATAAACTAGCCTCCCCGCGCAAACCTCTAAGTTAACCTTAAATGATAATTTAGTCTTATCTCATCCCTTTTTTTCTTTCTTCTTCATTCACATAACCTAACTTTTGTTGGGGGAAGATTTCTTCGAGAGAGCCCGTTTCTTAACCTCTTAGGAATACTTAAACAAAAACCTTTCTTGGAAATTTAACCTCCATAATATTTTGTAAAAAAAAAAAAAAAAATTATATATATTTATATACAAGTCCGCTGGTACATTTTTAAAGCGTCTTTCTATCTGTTCTCTTTATAAACGAGCCTCCCCGGGCGAGCCTCTAAGTTAACCTTAGATGATAATTTAGTCTGATCTCATCCCTGTTTGACTTTATACTGCAATAACATAACATAAGCCTCCAAGCTAAGTTTACGCGCTTTCTTATCATTCTGGTTTACTCTCCCCATCATTCCTCAATTTATTTGTGACTAATAACCTCGAACACAGGCTTAGAACACCAAAATATATAGTCACTGATTACCGTCCTTATCTATGTAGAACTACATCCGTTGTAAAATATTTTTCTTTACTTTTACAACCTGGATAAAAAGTGTGGAATTTTTCACCTGACTCAGTCTACGCAACCGTCCTACTTTAAAACCGATTTTTATAGCTTAATTTATTTGTCATATTAACCTTCTTTCGTACCTTCTTTCGTTTAATTTACAAAGGAACTCTTTGATCATTTCTTGGAAATATCATATTTCTGCCCCTCCCTCTGTATGACGAAACAATTGATATTAAATCATGTAAATAGATGAATTAAAAAGTGTATCAAAAATTTATTAAGCGAATCTTGTTCCAGTCTCTTTTTAGTGGTCATTTTGGGTCAGCTTCAACTTCTTGTGCGTGAAGGCAGCATATAGGTATCCCTAGACAACATTATGAAAAGAAGGTAAAGTTTCAAAAATTCTGGGGGAGATTGCCCAAATGTCCCTGTGCCTCGATTATAGGCTTTGATAGATTTTGCTCGCAAAAGCAGCATATTTTTCTACTAGCAGCGCTCGTATATTTCTAAAATTATGCCAATAATTATGCTAGTTTTTGTAAATTATGTCCATTTTAGCAGAAAAATGCAGAAATTATGTTAATTTAAACTGTGCAAAAACACCTCTCAGTAACTACCAAGTAAATGGCAAACACTTTACCCTATTTACAACTAAAAACTTTGCTTCGCATAATTAGCTATAATTATATAATTAAGTATGATTTTCCTGGCTATCACTGTTTTGCAAAGTATTTGCAGTGATACATGAATGCACATAGGTAAACCACTGAAACAACCAAACTGTCTGACAATGATAAAACTGATTTTTTTTCCTTTCTTTTTTTTTGGGGGGGGGGGGGGGGGGTGGAGGGGCAATTTTAAAACAAACATAACGCTGGAACGTTGAGTCCTGTAAAAGGATCCGTCTTGGTTAATTTCTGTGGGACCCATGACCCTACTGCCTGGCCAAAAATGTTTGGTGCATGATCAGTCAATGAAAAGTTTGGGCCGCAAAACTAGCCATAAGTGCAAATTATGCTAGCAGCGCTTTTTTCGGAAACTAGATGAACATTAACTCGCACGTTATGACGAATTATGCCAAAAATATTATGCTAGCGCAATCGATCTAAGCCTACCTCATGATACTCCCCCTCTCAGGAGTCATTAAGGCTAGAACCTTTCGAAATAAACCCTAGATCTGCTCCAGCTGCTCTTTTTCGATCTTTGTCGATCATAACGGTTATTAAAGAGTTATAATGATTAATTAAGGGACTGGGTAAGAGGCGACGGAGGGTCAGGAGAAGTTTTACATGGCCCCTCTCCATTTGCACCATCCTTTCCTCCTGTGAATAATGATCGTCGGTCTAAATAAACTCTGATTTGTGTATTCAAATTAAATAAGATATAAAAAATGTATATAATATGCCACTAAGGAACGTATCAACGAAGTTCCAAGAGGAAAACCTCGAAAAGTTGCGCTAGAGCGGAAAAGGACTTCAAACTCGTTACTGTGTACAAAATGGTATTTGATTGCAATACTTCTAACCGTAAAATATGTTTTCCCACGCAACAGTTTGACTTGTGGGCTTTAGCTTTCGCTGTTAAGTAACATCAACATTTTTTTTTTTATCTCGATAGGCCTCGGAGCATAATTCGAGCCGATGGTAAAGGCCAAAGATTGACTGGGACTACACAATAACGGCACCATCGAATTAACGAACATGGAAGTAAAAAGCAAGGCACTAGAATACTATCGACAGGAGAAATACCTTGAAAGTATCTTAAACGCCAAAATGTGGCTGGGATGGAGTAAACGTGTTGGTAATAAACGAGAAGAAGGAGAGGCGTGTAAAATTTTAGCCTGGTCACATCGCTATCTGGGAAAATACGAAGAAAGTATTAAATACGGAAACGAAGTGTTCAGAATAGCAAAAGAAGAGTTAGATGAAGGAGCAGAGTTGGATGCGTACGTTGTTCTAGCTTCGTCATATGTAAAACTTACACCTGAAAAAAGGTCAAAAGAAACGAGTCTAGATGATAATGCGTCAGATTCAGGTATTTAAGAGTGTTTCAGTACACTTAACTTTACGCATAGCGCAATGTTTTTAAAGTATTATAAATTTTGGAACAGGAAAGCTGGAACTATACAAACATTTAATGTTGTAGTAGTGTTGGTCCATTATATACATGTAATTTCTTTTTAGGGAGCACTTACCATCTGAATGGTTCATCAAGGGAAACTTTGAGAAATTGATGTTTGTTCTTCCCTTATACTTTGCTATAAATTGTCTTGGCATGTACTCAGACATATTCAGTCTGCCAAATTTCAGTCAGCTTGATCATTGTGTTGCACTGGTGTGGGTGTAAAAGGCATCAGCAGTATTAAAACCCTGAGTATCAGCTGAAGTGCAAGTGTAAGACCAGACATTGTTGATTTTGCTAACTCTTAAATAGACTACGAGCGGTCTCTCTTTTTTCTTAGCCCGTCGAGCAAGACATATGCGCGAGACACGCAAATGACCACGCGCGTGACTGAAGGCGCGAGACGGGAAAGGCACAAAACAGAGAGATCTTCTCGGGCTGCTGCCCTCGTTTTCGCGTCTCTCCGCTTCACCACTCGGCGCTCGTGCGCACGTGCATTTCCCTCACTAAATCTGAAGAAAAAGAGAGACTGCAACGCAACGTATGGGTAAACATGTTTTAACATTTATCTTGTATCTGTGTGTATGTTCGTGTATGTACCCAGGTTTGCACCAGAGCAGTAGTAACGCAAATTCACAAGGGCAAGCATCAGGCTGGAGCCTTAATCGGGGTACCTCAATTATGGCCCNATCATTGTGTTGCACTGGTGTGGGTGTAAAAGGCATCAGCAGTATTAAAACCCTGAGTATCAGCTGAAGTGCAAGTGTAAGACCAGACATTGTTGATTTTGCTAACTCTTAAATAGACTACGAGCGGTCTCTCTTTTTTCTTAGCCCGTCGAGCAAGACATATGCGCGAGACACGCAAATGACCACGCGCGTGACTGAAGGCGCGAGACGGGAAAGGCACAAAACAGAGAGATCTTCTCGGGCTGCTGCCCTCGTTTTCGCGTCTCTCCGCTTCACCACTCGGCGCTCGTGCGCACGTGCATTTCCCTCACTAAATCTGAAGAAAAAGAGAGACTGCAACGCAACGTATGGGTAAACATGTTTTAACATTTATCTTGTATCTGTGTGTATGTTCGTGTATGTACCCAGGTTTGCACCAGAGCAGTAGTAACGCAAATTCACAAGGGCAAGCATCAGGCTGGAGCCTTAATCGGGGTACCTCAATTATGGCCCCTGCTTCAGCTCAACTAACATTAACACCAGCTCAAGAAAAAGAAGATGATAAAAGCCAAGAACAAGCAGCCAAAGCCGAGAGAGTTTTATTTGAAAGCACAGGTAACGAGATTTATCAAAGACTATTTACCCGCTACGAATATATTAACTAGTTTTTTGTTTGCCTTAAGAAAAGTATTGTTTGTTTGTTTCTTTGTTTTTTATCCATATTACGTTTTGGCTTTTGTGGGTGCATTCAGCTGAGCATTCAGGGCGTTCCTTCTCCTAGATGCGAGATCCTGCAATTTCCCATTATTATCACTACACGCGGTCAAATGACTGACTGTCCTCTCAAATACGTTCCTTTTCGCGGGCCAAACGGCAAAGTACGGTATTAAAACTCTGAGTATCAGCTGAAGTGCAAGTGTAAGACCAGACATTGTTCATTTTGCAAACTCTTAAATAGACTACGAGCGGTCTCTCTTTTTTGTTGGTCCGTCGAGCAAAACATACGCGCGAGACACACAAATGACCACGCGCGTGACTGAAGGCGCGAGACGGGAAAGGCACAAAACAGAGAGATCTTCTCGGGCTGCCGCCCTCGTTTTCGCGTCTCTCCGCTTGTGGGTGCATTCAGCTGAGCATTCAGGGCGTTCCTTCTCCTAGATGCGAGATCGTGCAATTTCCCATTATTATCACTACACGCGGTCAAATGACTGACTGTCTTCTCTAATACGCTCCTTTTCGCGGGCCAAACGGCAAAGTGCGGGCTGTTAATGGAATTTGCAGCTCGCAACATGATTTGGAGAGACACACAAATGACCACGCGCGTGACTGGAGGCGCGAAACGGGAAAGGCACAAAACGGAGAAATCTTCTTGGGCTGCCGCCCTCGTTTTCGCGTCTCTCTGCTTCGCCGCTCGACTCTCGCGCGCGCGTGCACTTCCCTCATTAAATCTGAAGAAAAAGAGAGACTGCTCGCAGTCTAACTCTGTACTCTTAAATGTGAGCTCACAGATCCGCCTCAGTGTCCCCACCCCCCCGTTCAAATGCAACGTATGGGTAAACATGTTTAACATTTATCTTGTATCTGTGTGTATGTTCGTGTATGTACCCAGGTTTGCACCAGAGCAGTAGTAACGCAAATTCACAAGGGCAAGCATCAGGCTGGAGCCTTAATCGGGGTACCTCAATTATGGCCCNCCTCATTAAATCTGAAGAAAAAGAGAGACTGCTCGCAGTCTAACTCTGTACTCTTAAATGTGAGCTCACAGATCCGCCTCAGTGTCCCCACCCCCCCGTTCAAATGCAACGTATGGGTAAACATGTTTAACATTTATCTTGTATCTGTGTGTATGTTCGTGTATGTACCCAGGTTTGCACCAGAGCAGTAGTAACGCAAATTCACAAGGGCAAGCATCAGGCTGGAGCCTTAATCGGGGTACCTCAATTATGGCCCCTGCTTCAGCTCAACTAACATTAACACCAGCTCAAGAAAAAGAAGATGATAAAAGCCAAGAACAAGCAGCCAAAGCCAAGAGAGTTTTATTTGAAAGCACAGGTAACGAGATTTATCAAAGACCTATTTACCCGCCACGAATGTATGAACTAGTTTTTTTTTTGCCTTAAGAAAAGTATTGTTTGTTTGTTTGTTTTTTATCCGTATTACGTTTTGGCTTTTGTGGGTGCATTCAGCTGAGCATTCATGATCAGCAGGGCGTTCCTTCTCCTAGATGCGAGATCCTGCAATTTTCCATTATTATCACTACACGCGGTTAAATGACTGACTGTCTTCTCTAATACGCTCCTTTTCGCGGGCCAAACGGCAAAGTGCGGGCTGTGAATGGAATTTTCAGCCCCCAACTTGATTTCATGTTAAACAATCTTTCCTTATGAAATACATTTGTACGATTTGACCTGATGTATTGATAATAATGATAATCACATGACCTTGTCGGGCATATAGTTTATTTATGTCCGGTAGCATCATTTGCTACTCGGGTCACAAATAAAACTATATGCCCTCCATAAGTCATGTGATTGTCCTATTAACATTAGACGGCGCAGTGTTTACCTGTTAAGAGGCTTCCAACATGCGGTATAACTGATCAAATGCGAGACAAAAGCCTAAGCCTTCTCAAGTTTTACACGCTGGTTCGAGGAGCAGAACCTGACAGGGATTGAGTGATATATTATTTGCCAAAAGTATTTCAGTGCAACTACTCGAACCGGGGCAAGTTTTTTTGCAAGGGACCAATCACATTAAAAATATTGGAGAGCTGCTTCCTGAGAGGCAAGTTAAGTTCATACGGTTAAATAAGCTTTTCAACGGTCCTATGGCTAAACCTTGAATTTTAGTGGCCCATTGCCAAAAAAAATTTGAGAATCTCCTGTTTTCAAAAAAGAAATGTTGGTGTTGGATGATCTTCCAGTGACCCAGTTCGAGTAGTCGCACTGTAAATTTGCGGCTGGGTGTTGGCTTGCAACTCACCTTGATGAAGACCTGCGAGGCTATTGGATTTAGGATGTTGTTTTAGACTGAATGCTTTTTTACACCCGGCAGTGTTGTGTTATATCAAGAGAGGATACAGCTTTATCCTTTCTTGGTTATAAACTAGGTATATAAAGTCAGGTTCTTGTCCTTTACAGAGTAACGTCCCTTGCTCGCGGCATGTAAATTACGAAGTACGTTTTTTTGACAGGTTTGCCCGAGGGTACAGTGAACGTAAAATGGCGGAGACTAGCTTTCGAAAAACAGGCGAAAGACAGTGATAAAAGTCGGGAACATGCACAAAACCGAAGACGTAATCCATATAACCGGACAGGTAAATAAGTGAGACTATATATTAGCCACTTCGGTTACTGTAGTCAGCTTTTTTCGAGTTAAATTTCTTACACCTGTCGAAGAAATAAACTCATGCCACAATCTAACATAAGAAGTCTAGCAAGATAGGCACCATTATCGTCGGCAGTTAAGTATTGTTAGGTGGTAAAAAAGAAAGGAAAAGAATCTGCATGACTTGGCTTTATTGGCCACACTGCATTGTTTAAGTGAATGAGATATTCATATTGACGGGTTGTATTTTGTGCTCAAATTCGCGCTCGCCCTTGCTTCCTGAAAAAAAGGCAAAAACAAAAAGCTTCAATATATGTGTATTCACGATTCATCACGATTCACTGAATCAAGGATATCGATTGTGGCGTTTCAGAGAGTCAACTTCAATGACGATACCCAACGGTTTTTCAACATTTTACTATTCATGGACAACAAAAATGTTGGATCGCTCGGTCAGTTTCCCCCCACTCCCTGTTCAAATACAGTTAGTTTATGGCCAAACATCCTTTGATTTCTCTTGTATCTGAGTGTATGTTCGTGTATGTACCCAGGTTTGCACCAGAACAGTAGTAAGGAAAATTCACAAGGACAAGCATCGGGCAGGAGCCTTAATCGGGGTACCTCAATTATGGCCCCTGCTTCACCTCAACTAACATCAACACCAGCTCAAGAAAAAGAAGATAATAAAAGCCAAGAACAAGCAGCCAAAGCCGAAAGTGAAAGCACAGGTGACAAGATTTATTAAAACCGTTCACCCGCTAAGAATATTTTAGCTTTTTTTGTTTTATAACGATACATGATATAATAAATGATTTAATAATAGTTTATAATGCTAAAACTGTGTTAGTTCCTATCCTGGTGTGTGCCTTCAAATAGTGTTTTCACCGTAGAAGTTAACGGTGCTGCTTTTAAGCAGCGTACACTTAAGCTTACCTATTAAAATAGGTAAGCTTAAACCAGCTTTCATTAATTTTATTATCGTTTTGCAATTAGTCCTTTTGTTTTGGACAAAAAAAAAATACACTGAAAATTTTAAAAGATCTGTTTCAGCCAATTCAACCCTGCTCGCCAAAGTCTGATTCAACAGCAACAACAGTTTTGAGGCTATTCGAGGAGGGATAGTGGGTGCAAAAAAATAAATTTAACTCTAACTAAGGAAAGTCTACAGTTAATAATTAAATGAAATAAAAATCGTAACATGGTTGAGGACTATAAATAACACGACAGAGAAGAAAGAATAAAACAAATAACAAACCGTAGAAGTAAAAATGAGTAAAAAAAAATCAAAATAATAATAATAATAATAATAATTCATTATTTATAAGATGCAAAATTGCATTTAAATATATGATCTAATGCGCACTAACAACAAAAAAAGAGAAAAAAAACAAGCAAACAAACTAACCATTGTTAGTTGCGAAAAAAGAAAGAAATAGAGTCCGCATAACTTGGTTTTATAGGGAGGAGAAGTGTGACATCACGTCACCATGGTAACACTGTTTCTAGATGACAAAAAGCCAAAGACGACGGCGATGGAAGGAGTAATAGGTTTTTAATGACAAAACAACAAATTCGCACGTGCATCATGCTATTTTTGTACATTTCTTTGCTGTCGTTACAACACTGCTACTTGAAACTTCCGTTATGGAGTAGGTGAGCACAACACAAAAAGTTGTCTTTTTCTTTTTCTAAACTTAGGTAGTACAGTCCTTTCAGATTCAACCAGAGAAAATTTCGCCAACATTTGCTAATTTTAAAATGAGATTAAATAAGATCGATGAAGTTTGAAGCAGTGTGACGTTTTCGGTTTGTTGTCATCCAAAAATTCTGGCCACACTGCACTACGATGAAATGTTTCTTTAAATGCAAATGAATGAGATATTCATCTCAGGCGCGGATCTAGGATAAATACTGACCGATTTCCTAAACGAGGGGCCGAGGGAGCAAGCTTCTAGGGGAGCCCGGATGCACCCCCGGGAATTTTTTTGGGTTTTAACTCCCTGAAGTTCCCTTTCCCCGGTTTCTGTCTAATGCCCGTAAACTGGGAAAAGAAAACATTTGTGCAGACCATTTTCCAGATTTCAACTTGGAAAGTGCTACTATTATTATTAAAAATATGGTTATTATGAAAAACCTGACCGATTTCCGTTAAACGGTGGAAACCGGTGTGGATCCGCGCCTGCATCTTAACGGTTTATGTTTCTTCAGTCTAAATTATTTATAACTTTCTGAGTTTTCAGAAGATATTTCACACTTGACGCCAACGTGAGCATTATGGGTTAAGGTCCATTTCTAATAAACAACTGGAAGGTGCCAATCAGTTTCAAACTTCCTGATTGAAGGGCCTGTTTATATGGAGTGGGGGACCCCGGTCTAGTGAGGTTGGTTTCTTTTGTTTTCACGCTCTGGGGGACACAAAACAAAAGAAACCTACCCCACTAGAGCGGGGTCCCCCACTCCATGTAAACAGGGTCTAACTTTGAATATGAGTAAACAGAGATATTTTAAAACTTTTGTCTTTTATCTCTGTGTGCGTGTACTTAACCAGCTTTGCACATGAGCAAGTATGTTGCAAATCAGGAAGAGCAATCTTCAGGCCAACTTACAGTGAAACCATTTTAAAGAAAAGAAGATGATAAAACTAAAAAAAAATGCCGTGAAAGCCGAAAGACTTTTAAATGAAAGTACATGTAACGAGGTTTTCTAAAATCGTTAAGTGGTTAAGGAAAGTTGAACTATGCTTTTAAAAAAGTTAATAGTTATGTTTGAACAATTCAAACAAGCGGTGTTTTCGAGAGCGATAAGGCTGATAAGATGAAAGTTTAAGGGTCGGTTATTTAAATGAAGTGTAAGGAAATCTTTGGACCTACAGATCTCGATCTTTGTGGGCTCTTTTGAGAAGATAATTGTTTTTCTGGTCAGCGCTTTGTGCTTTCACGAAACTTTTGACCAAAATTGGTGTTTACATATTAAAAGTGTTGGGCACTAACTGAAAATGGCTTAGAACGGGGTTTTGTTAAACAATGGCTAAACTCCTAAGTATATGGGATATCTTCTGCTGATGATTCCTTAGAATATAAAATCGAAGACATCTTTCCTTTTTTGCTGTCTATCAAACAGGTTCGCGTCAGGACGCAAGTAAAGTTAGTGTACTGAAACGAATGTTTGAGGAACGTTCTTTCTCAGGAGCTGAAGCGCAAAATGGAGACGAAAGCCGTGAACTTACACCAAAACGAATACGTACTTCAAATACAAGTACAGGTAAAAAGGAAGTAATTTAAAAAATAACGTATACTATAAAAAGGAAAAGGCATCAATTACAGGACTTTTAAGTCGAATTTTAAGATGAGTGTCAGTAATTAAACCCCCAGGCCAAACGTCGAACTTTTCACGAGACGAAGCAACCTCTAATTTGAGTCGACCAATTCCGTTGGGTCAGACATAGAACTTAGGACGTGTCAACTGCATCAGATCAAAAAGCAGTTTTAGCAATTTTAGCCGACTGAGGCTTAATATACATTGTCATACAAATTTTTAATTTATTAGCGTCGCATGTGAAGATCGGCGTTTGTCCCGGTGACGATCTTCAGACGATCAATCCGTCTGAAGTAGACGGATAGAACGTTTTGGGTGATCCAAACTTACTCAGACGATCCTAACTGAGCGACACGTCGAACTTTTCATGAACTGGACTTACAAAGTTTAGTTCATCTCATGAAAAGTTCGACGTTTGGCCAAGGCGTGAGGTGGGTTTTTCAGTTCGATGCAGGAGGCACATTAGCAGAGTAAATATTCAGTGAATATTGACCAATTATTAGATTCGGCTTTCGTGTTATCTGAAGAATTATGTGGAGATTGAGGAAGGTTTTTGTCCTTTGAGATCTGCGTGCACAATAGCCCTTTATACGCACGTTTACGTCGGACGAACAATTTGACCACCAAGCCTCGTTAATTTTGAAATTGTGAGTAATAAAAGTTTCCTAAATGAATTCCCAAGACAGTAGATTTGAAAAGGATACCCACGAAGAAAAAGCGCAAATGCGAGAATTTTTTTCCAAACGAGGCTTGGTGGTGAAATGTGCTCGTCTGTTCGTCTGATGACATAATCATTCAAAAGCCAAATCTAATCATTGTTTTATTATGTAAACTAATTATATTCCTAGTTTAAAAACAAGCTAAGCTCCATGGATGCTTAGTTCCCGTCTTCATTTGCCTGATTCTCGGCAAAAAGGAGTTTGAAGCCAGCAGATATACTTTAAATAGTCAATGTCATCTGTCGAGTTGTATTCTTGCTGTTCTTGCTCCGTTTTTAGGGAATAGGCCCCCTATTTAATTTCATCTTCGCAAAATGGCGAAATGTTCATCATTGAGCTATCACATTTAATTTCCGTCTCCCCGCTCGAGGGCCCATTGAATTCTTCAGGGGTAAGTCATAAACAACTGAGGGGTAGGGTAAAAAAATATGGAATTCTTTGGGGGTGAAGCTTTAATTTTCAAGAAATTCTTCAGGGGTAGACCCGTAATTTATGGAAGTCTTCACGGGTAAATACAATTTTATTTGACCTTCAGGGGTAAGAAGAAAGTGGGGAGGGGGAACGGATGTGACCTGCAATAACCTAAGTTCTAATGCTCTGACAAACAACGCGACCTCGTCCCGAAAGCTTATCGGTTTCCGTCTGGCTGTTTCGGTGATTTTCCCTGTACAATTCCGGTAGCAAGAGCTAAAATTGGTTATCTGAACAGTAACTGGTTTGTACTTATTTGGCAAACTTTTGCACTCTAGCCGTGGGTATCAAATTGATAAAAGTATGTGAGTGATCATGAGTGCCTCACCTTTTATATAAAGCCTCCTGTTCAACCACAGGGTATGGACAAACATTAACTTCTCTTCTACCGACCTTATGGGCGTGTATTTATTGCTTCAGGCAAACTTACTTCAAAACCAGCTAATCTGAAAGAGGATGACAAAAGCCAGGAACAATTAGCGAAAGACGAACTACGTTTAAATGGCAGTCAAGGTAACAACTTTGACTAAACACATTGAGTCAGACAGCTGATTGCTACTTTATACCTCGGCCCTCGGCTTTATACTTATTGAACGTTATTTTGATCTGGCGGTTTTCATTTCGATCAGTTTTCATTAAATGCTGCTGCCGGCTGGTTACAATATGCGTAGCTTCAATTCATTGTAAACTACCGCAGCTCTTATTATGACAAAATGCGTAAGTTATTATATTACAAGATGCTGCTTGCAGGACATGTGCATATTGTGTCTGAAAAGTGTCAGGCAGTACCGCCAGGTATGTCGGAGGTGGGTGGGTGAGAATAACTTACGGGCGGAAGAAAAACAAAGAGTCATAAACTGAATGAATAGCTTGGAACGAAAATGTGACGTTCAAAGTTGTACAATAACGGTCTGGATATGACTCCCTTGAACTTACCCAGTTGAAACGAGTTGTCCCACATTACCTAGCTAGATTTTTCATCTCCAAACCATAAAAATGTTGATGACTTAGAGGTTTGCAAATATATATTTTTTTGGCTACGTTGAATGATGGCCATGGAATCTTATTGGCACGCAGTTTAGGTTATAATCTTACGCCAGGCATAAAAGCTAGACAACATTTGGAATCGAATCTCATGTTTGAGACATGAAACAACACATTTTTGTCAAAATCTCATTTCCAACATGAAATCTGAAGATTGTTGTCCAAATTGGGTATCTGTAAAACCAGGAACACTACGCTGGAACACCCTGAATACCCCGGAAACAATCCAGACTACCCTAGAACACTGCTCGACAAACCTAGATCTCCTCCAGAGCACCCACGGGTACAAATTTTAGAAAATTAAATATAAATTCAAAAAAGCTAAAAAGCAATCAGTGAATACATTTTATCTCTGGAATATAGAAAACATCAGTAAGTTCTCACTGTCGTATACCTGTTTGTGTGTGTTTTCCAAACAGGTTTGAATGATAACACAAGTAAAGTGAGTGTGCTTAAGCGAGCTTTTGAGGAAGTTTCTTCCATATCAGCTGAACGTAAGAAAGGTGTTGAAAGCCGTGAACATGCAGCAGAACCAAGACATTCTCCACGTACCGGAAAAGGTAGAATATACGTGCCCCTTATCAACAGCTTGAATTTTGGTGATGCATCGAAGCTCATCATTTGCAATACACCTTTTTACCGACAAGGCGGCCATATTGAATTAATTAGATTTAAGGAGTATTATGGGATGCCTAGTGGGCACTCGCTCAGTATTGACGCGCGCTTTTCGGGCAAAAAGAGAACTTCACTGTATATTTCTCGAGAATAAGGCGATTAATATAACATCCAAACACGGCACAACGATCTTTTTTTCCCATTACAATCTTCTTCTAGGAAAACGTAAAGAAAAATTGGCCCGAAAAGAGCGCGTAAATACTGAGCGCGTGTATCGGATCGTGCTCATGCCCCCTGGGCATCCCATAATACACCTTAAATCTAATTAATTCAATATAGCCGCCGTATCGCTAAAAAGGTCTATTTTACTGAGATGGCCCCTAACTGACACAAAAATAAACAAGGGATTGGATATAAGGTCGTGTAAGAGAGGAGAAAGTATTTCTTACAAAATACATAGCTAATGAGGGCAACGATGCGGACTCTACGACTGCTTAAACTTCTCTGAATACATTTGCATTAGGCGTTTCCAGTCATGTGTTTTTTGGTTCAGTGCGCGTGGAGGAAAAACAGCGCAAAGAGATCAACGGCGTCGTGGAGAAATCGCCATGTTCGTACCTATTCAGAGCTTATGTGGCGTTCTTCCTTTCTCTAAACAGCAAAATCAGCCAATAAAACGATCACAAACTGCACTAGTTAAATATGCGATGCGAATATCTGTTCTAGAACACCTCTGAATGATACCCCAATGGCGGAGATGTCACTACGCTGTAATTTAAGAAGTCTCTAAGAATTATAATCACAAGAATATTCAGCTTTTCTCTCCTCTATCCCCTGCTTGATCCTCCTCTTTCTTTGCGCTCAATCCATTAGCCGCCTATGATACCCACTAAGGAGCCCGGTGTCAGGCTATTTGGCCGTAGCAACACTGGTTTTAGTATTACTGCTACCCTAAGCGTTAATGAGGTTTCCATGTCATTTTGTGTTTTGCATTATTTCTTTTTCTTTTTTTTCATTTTAATTTCGTTTTTGAAAAATTCAACAATCAGAATTACACGTTCCTGTTATTTCTTTCTTTATTTCTTTTCCCACCAATTTGGCACATTTTGGCATTTTCCTTTCCCAGCAATTCTTGTCTTAACAGAAAACGAATTTAATTTTAAAACAGCTGTTTTTGTTTTGTTTTATTTTGTTTTCGACAGTACCAGATGAAATCATGGCTCGAGGGCCTGAGGCAAAACGTGCCTATGAAAATGCTTTGAAGAATGGAAAGGTAAAGGTGTATCGTGGCCGAATCATGTTCATCGGCCAAGATCGAGCGGGAAAGACGAGTTTAAAAAAACATCTTCTTGGCCTGCCATTTGACCCTGATGAAGAGAGCACAGACGGGGTGGAAGTAGACCCATCAGCATTTGAATTTGACGTCGATCACGCCACTAATTGGAAGATCAGCAATGAAAAGCTCAATGTTTCTCATTTTGTCAACGAACTTGCAAAGATAGTGGCAGGAAAACTTCAGGAACAGGGAAACGAGGAAGGTCAAGATGAACAGAATGGGGTTAGCAGTCGATCATTTCGCATAAACTAGTTGTAATTTCTGTCTTAATTGTACCCGTGGGATTTCTGTAAACTAGCTATATGGCTAAGCATATTTACAGCGTTAAGTAAAGTGTCTATGGATAAAACTGCCTGGTCCGCTTCATTGATTTTCGGCGCGCATTTCGTGAACATTGATGTAAGCTATAGGAAAGTAGCTCTTTCGACAACTAGATAGTTTTTTGCCAAATGTTTTACTTACCCGTTTCTGCTTCCCAGTAATTCTTTCTGCATATATTTAGAATTTTTTCAGACAAACGGACAATTTGGAACAAGTGGCTGAAGAACCTACGAGTTCCATAACCGACTTGAAGATCGAAGCAGCTTCCTCTGAAGAAGACGTAGCAGAAATAGTGACTACAGAACCTACAATTCCCATACCCGAGTTGAAGATTGATCCAGCCCATCCACCAGAAGACTTCACAGAAATACTTGTTCAGCATTTAAAAGGATTAAATCTGAAAAAAGATGCAAAACAAGCTGAACATCACACGACGCTAGATCTATGGGACTTTGCAGGACAACATCTTTATTACGCCTCATATCCTGTGTTTTTGACGAAAAGAGCAATTTATTTGTTGGTCTACAATTTGAACAAGGAACTTGAGGCGGAGGCACAGCCCTCTTTTAAACGAGAAAATTGCGAAGTACGCCTAAGGAACCCAAATTCTGAGACAAATTTAGGCAACCTAATGTCATGGCTTGCTTCAGTAAGTACTATGTGTTCAAAACAAAAGAACGCTGATACAAAGAAAGAGAGGGAGCTCGAATACGTGCGTCCTCCAGTATTCATTGTGGGAACACATGCTGATGAGCCATATAAAAGTAATATAAAGGACATTGAATCACAGATCCAAAAAGCGATTTTGGGAAAAAGCTTTGCAAACCACGTGATTCGTCCTTTCTTTGCAATTTCTAACAAGTCAAGTTCAGACGAAAAGCAGCTCGTCGCCCTTCAAGACAAAATAATCGAGGTGATAAAGCAGGAGCCATACATGGGAGAGGAGTTGCCACTCCGGTAAGTTTTGTCATAAAAGATCACTCCAAATCAGTTTCATCCTGTGTAACATCATATTTCCACGCTGTGAAATTTTTCAGTACTTTCTCTTTTGCGATGATCTTGAAAGCTACACCCAGTTGCAAAAATATGGGGCACTTCGACGAAAACCGGCTTTTTTACATCAAATGGCTGCTAGGCTCACATTTCTGAGATATAACACTTAGCCCCTCCTTCATCTTAGAATGTACCAGATTCCATTGGTGTTACTAATAATATCCCTGAACTAGATCTTAAAGTCCTCATGTGTTTAACGATGTCTAATTTGCGATAGCTTGGCCATGTTGAGCTGTGTATTGCTTTATGTGCTGCCTTAAGATGGAACCATTGACATTGTTCCTTGATTGGTACGCATTTGAGTTTACTGATGTCATCGGTACTTGCAAATGCAAACTTGCTAATGCATTCTGTATTCTGGACGTTAAGTTTTCCTACCATTTTCCAAGTCGCTTTACCCGTGCTCTTTCCGCTGTCCACGTTGCTTGTTTTAGTTACATCCGATCACCCGATTTAAAAAACCTTTCTATACATATGCACCTTTTAATATTTACCAACGGTAATGACCTTCATGATGTGTGCTATAGTCTCATACGTTCATTCAGACTGATGCCGTTCAATTTAACGCTAAACCTAACCCACGGACAGGTTAAAATAACGATATTGAGGCTCAAGAATAACGTTAGCGGAGATATTTCTGACGCTCCCACATTCCTTCAACCATTCGGGTGCCTTTTTCGATCATAACTTCTTTTATCCTGCAGGTGGTTCAATTTTGAGAAGGTCATTAAAAGCTTGGTTGCAGCGAACATACAGTATTTGGGACTAAAGGATCTACGAACGATTGTTCAGAAAGTTTGCTTCATCGAAGATGAGAAGGAAATGGACACCATGCTGGACTTTTATCATGACCTTGGCATCATTGTGAAACACCGAAACACAGTTATACTGCAGTCCCAATGGCTAATTGATATTTTCAGGCAGCTTATTACCATCCGTCATTTCAACGATATGGTAATTTAAAAGTAAAACGATTGGGATAAATCATCATTTCCCTGGCATTTATTATTATGAACATAAAAAATATATGCAACATCGCAGATATTCGCTAACACAGCTTATCCATAGGCGTACGGGCTAAGTAGGGGCCGAGATTCCACACAAAACGCCTCATTATTCGGGAAATAGCACTTGGGATAGGGTGATTTTCGCATGACGTTGAAAAATGGTTTCGGTAAGTGTTCGTTGTTTGTTTTATCAGCTAAAGAAAACCCTGATATTGAGAAGGCATTGTTCGATTGGCCAATCGTGTTTCAGTATGACGTCAAAGCGAAGTATCGATTGATTTCTAGAAAGTTCTCGGGCATGAAGTTTTTTCAGCCGAGCGTTCGCTTAACCAGCCAAAAGCAAAGTGCGTTTGTACCCGTTCGATAAACCAATCAAATCGCTGGATTTCCGTTCGTTTGTTGTTTCTGTTTTGTTCGCGCGTTTTCATTTCAAGGTCATACGAAAATCTCTCTAAGACTAAAAAACAAAAAGAAAGTCAAAGCAAAAAGGAATGAAACCACGACAGTCGTTTCCAAACGTCAGTCTAAATGCGCACATGTCAAATCTAGAAGCGTGGTGTCGATACCCGTTACTCACTTTTCATCCCAGCACCTTCTTTAATTAGTGCCGCAAGGTACTAATACGCACTATATGTAGCCGAGAGATTTTCACGAAAAAATGCCGGCAACAACAGAATTTCGACTCAGACCCCAAAGAGGCGTGGCACTATAACCACGTGACATTTACTCCGATCGCCAAAAATTTTATGCAGTATTGTAGATTGATCTATATGTTATCCATGCTACATGTTGGACTTACGATCAAAGTAAAGGTGGGGATACCATAGAGCTTCAAAGTAGGATGGTACCCTCACAAAATAACGGGGTTGAGTCACCTTAATTCTTTTCCGTGGCGTCCATTGTGAGCTGGTAATCTGAGATCTCTAGATACATTTCCGAATAAGTGATAAGTTCAATACTGAAAACTTATCTCCGTAGCACGATGTGACAGAGTAGATTGTATTGCCTCTCTAAATTCCATACTGAGCACTCCTATGAGTATAATTAAGTCTTTGTGAACAGAATGGACAACGCCACGGGAGGAGTGAACTTTCAAAGTAAGTTTCTGATTTTACCAAATCAAATAGACTCTTATTAATCGTAGAGACTGTGCGAGGTTTCGAAATAACTTTAATTATTACTGTTTCATTTAGCGTGAGAGTTATAAACGTTTTTGTTTTTCGCGGCATACGATGTAAGTACTGTTGTATCCCGTTTACAACACCAAAGCGTTGGGGTACTGTGTAATCTCTTCGGGCAAGGTCGCCGACGCCGCTGCCCCCGAGTAAAAGTCCGAAGGTGCCCCTACGTTACTTAAGGGTACTTAAAAGAACAATATTTCAAAAGGCAGATGAAAAGGAGTTGTTTGAGGAGGCGCGCAATCGTGTTTGGGAGCGTTTTAAATCTAAGAACACCAGATCTGCAATTTGTTTTTTGTGGTAACATATTCGTTCCATTTTCACAGAAATCCAAACATTCCCAACTGTGGAAAACAATGGAGACAACAGGTGTTCTCTCAATGGAGCTAGTCGATCATGTGTTTTCCAAATTTTGTCAGCAAAGTTTTGCCAAAGAAAACATCTTACACTTGATGGAACAGTTTGGTTTGATTGCCAAGTGTGCTTTTCCTACAAATGATGTCAAATACTTCGTTCCAGCGCAACTTCGTTCGTTACCTGGACGACTTTGCCATTTGAAACCAGCCCCGACAGACCCGTGCCCGTTGTATCTTCAGTTTCCATCTGGATTTGTTCCACACGGGCTTTTTACGCAACTTGTATCTCGTTGTACCACATGGTGTTCCAAAATTGAATTCAAGGAGGCGCCCCACCTCTTTGATGGGGTAGTCAGGTTTACACTGCTTTCAAAGGATTTTGCCCACCAGCTAATCTGTATTCGCCAGAAAAGCTTCATTAAGTTTGTTTTACGTCATTTTCAAACACAGCGGTGTCAAGAAGCTCCACTGACAGAAATTGAAGAAATGGCCGCTCTCGTGTGGAGATTTCTAAAACAGACAATGACTTCTTTGTTGGATGAGTGGCCTTACTTGACCAGTTTGGAATATAATTGGTGCGTCGCATGTACCGACTGTTCAGAGGGGCACGTCATGTGTGATAGCCATGGTAAAGTTGCATGCAGGCACGATGATTGTTCGTGCCTTCTTAAAATTCTGCAAGACGGGCAAATGAATAATTGCCCAAAGAGCTTCGGCAATAAAACCACGAATGTTCCAGGACTGGAAAAATGGTTTCCCATCAAAGGTGAGGAAAACCTGTCTGTAACTACTAGAAATTTGCATGTTTGTCTGGCTTTCATTGCACCAAATTCCTCGGATATTGATGTTTAGGTCGTCTTAGCCATGAATAACGGTAGACGCCCAAATGTGGATGTGACAATATTTCAATAATGATGTTCGCCATTGGTGCATCAGTAAACAACACCCTAATATATATTTAACGATAAACAAATCGAATTTGGATGTGATTCTGTAGCACAAGGAACAAAGTGACTCGATTCTTGATCAATTTCTTGCTTATCAGGTTTACCTATCGGAAGCTTTTTGTTGTAGCACTGTCTTAATTCAACAAGGGCAGTTACAACAGATTATTCCTTTTACTGATGGCTCAGTTACCACAGTTTTCCTTCCAAGAGGCCATTGTGAGAGTCGCACCCTCCCCCTCCTTCAAAGTCCAGATACAAAGGCGAACGAGTGGTAAAAGGCGTTAAGTTGCAGTTGTAGAGGAAACGCTTGTAATGTCGCAGTCAAGAGTCGGAAATTTTCCTACTTTTGTCGGAAGACAAACTTGCTAAAACAATCCCACCAGAAGTTATTCTTTTAGGCCATGTTACCGTACCGCGAATCCACAATGCAAAGCCACGGGGAAAATTATAATTATACCCAAACATTGTTTTGATTTTTTGCCTGTTTACACAGCAGGGTGTAAAGCAAAGGGCACAACGTTATGGCAACGTCTGAGCATGAACCTAGTTCCGGAACTGAAGTCAACCACCAGGAAGCGTGCCCTGCTTCGCTCCCCTTTTTTGAGTATTAATTTCAATGAGCATTCTTTTTTTATGTAGCTGTGCGCCCAGGTAATCACCCTGGAACAGACTTAGTCTACAAAATGACTGCTCTTCCAAGAGGGATTGCACTGATCATTAATAACAAGCTGTTTGTTGACAATCCTGTATATGGCAGACAAACACCACGCCATGGTGCAGAAGAAGACGTCCGTCAAGTTAAAGAAATGTTCAGCGCCCTGGGATTTGAAGTACTCATTAGAGAGAATCGTACCAAAAAGGAGATGTTGGACGAGGTAAAATTTTTTGCATACGAAAAGGACCACAGCGACTACGATTGTTTTGTACTCTGGCTCATGAGTCATGGAAGGAGTGGCGAAGTGTTTGGCTCTGATGGTTTTCCGTTGCCAATCCAGGCAATAAAAGACATGCTTTCCAACGCCAGCTGTGCAACACTAAGGGGAAAACCAAAGCTTCTTTTTGTTCAAGCATGCAGAGGGGATAAAGAAGACGAAGGGTTTAACGTCTTGACTAAGGCATGTGGTCTGCCCTCTGTTCAAATGTCTTCTCCCTGTCCTGATAAGCCGAGGATTGATCAAAAGAAAAGTCCCTCTTCGGAGAGGACGGCTGGGCAAACAGACTTCCTAACTGCGTACTCAACAGTTGAGGGATACGTGTCATACAGGTTTCCTAACCTGGGAAGCAATTTCGTTCGCGCACTTGTGAACGTTTTCCGAGAACATGTTGCTCACGATCACCTCGTCAACCTCCTGACCAAAGTAATCAAAAGAGTCAGCGACATGGAATCAGTAGAAAATGCCCGCAAATTTAAGCAAGCGCCTCAAATTGAAACTACCCTTGCTAAAGATCTTTGGTTTTAGTCATGGAAAAAGGGAGTGTGTTTCACTTACGACTACAGTCTCGAACAGTCAACTCTCGCCTTGCGGACATCCCGTTATAACGGACATCCCGATAATGCGGACAGCGGCTAAATCCATGGCAAAAATAAATTACAGATGTTTGACTGAAATAAACTCCCACTATTACAGACTCTCACTGAAGAGGACAATAAATCGAGGTCCCCACAGCGTCCGCTATAAAGGAAGTTGACTGTACTGACCTCTTGAAATGCTATTGTTCTTAGACTGCAATTAATATTGCAACGATTTATGCCAGAAAAGATGTAGATTACATGAGTGTCTAGAGAAAATAGGGGCCATCCTTTTGTTACAACGGATAGACTTTCCTAAGGCGTCTTGTTTTAAGATTAGTGCAATTCTTGAAGTTATCTATTGTAAGCTGATGACGGTTTCGTAAAACCTGTGGCCGGCCCACTGCATGTTAGGGAATTAAAATGACGAAGGTTTTCTTTTTTCTAAACTTAAAGGTTGACCTAAGGAATTCGGCTCCAGGAATATTTGCGTACACTTGGCCGATTGAGTGAGTCGAAATAATTGGGTATAAGCTTAAAAGAATGCTAATCTCTTCAAGTGAAGTATTCACTGCCGTCGCCGTTGCTCAAGAACGTTGCCGTTAGCACAGGTAACCCAAGCGTACTTTGTGAGGAATCGACGTTGATGGATTATTTCGTAGCAGAAATATCTAATATGTATTTCAATTAAACAAATAAAACCAATTAAAACCGTGTTTAATATGAAGTATATTCCTTTACCTGTTTAATAAAATACAATTCAGATATAACGCACACTCTGATTGGTTGAAAAAGGGCAGAGTACTGCGTTGGGAACTTAAAGGATTATTTATCATAAAACAGATAAATAATAAAGTTTTGACCGTACCCAGTTCTGTTGAAAAGCATTAAGGAAACGAAGTGGAGAGAAACACAAGGCTACGTCTCGTGTTTCCTCCTTACAATTCTTTCGTGCTCTAGTCGCTTCCTCAGGGGCACCAACGACAATTTTCGGAAAATATCTGTTCAAAAGACGATTTGAGATCTAGAATTTTCGGAACATTTGTTGTAAAATTTCTTGCTTGCCTGCCTCTCCTAGGGTTTTCAAACTTCTAAAAAATGGTATAATTGTCCATTTTTAACGGATTTTTACACTAAAAAGATCACCTATAATTTTCAGGAGCCTTTTTTCTGGCTGAAATTTTCAAAAAGGTAAGCTTTGATGCCTATAACTTTCGGATCACTAGACTTTTAGCTAGGAAATCCGAACAGATGAAAAAGTTTAAGGGGATAAAAATATGCCTATATCTACCTTTTAAATACTAAAATACGTTTAACGATGCTATAATAATAATAATCATCTTTATTGAGGAAACTTTTTCATAAAAGATATGGTTTTCAAAAAGGACCTCAAAACTAGATATATATTATAAAAACAAAAAAAGCTATAAAATTACAAAAGGATTAAAAAGATACCAAAAATGCATAAAAAATTAAAAATAAGTATAAGTAAAAATTAAACGTAAGTAGCTATATTAAAAACTTAAAAACATTACGTTTAAGTAGTTTTGAACTATATTCTCGTTGGGTGCCCCTGCTTCCTGTCCTGCGTGCTTTTCAACAGAACAAAACACCGTTTTAAGGCTGTCTACACTATACCGGATGTCTGTTACCCTGACAACAACCATATCGGATATGGCTTCTGTTCACATTTAAGAACAGTGATTTCGGAGCGGATTTTTGCGGCGGAGCGAAGCTGAGCCGCACCCCTCTTGAAAGTGGATCGTCACATATTGGATTATGTTTCTATGGCACTCTTCAGCGCACTGTGAACGGGTGTTACTGCTATATCGGAGTATTTTTCATGTCCACATGAGAAGCTATCCGGCGGTATAATTGTAAAGATAGACCTTAGACCTGCGCCGCCGTCGCCACTTTTGTGGTGTTGCCTTTTTCAACCCGAGAGCGAAAATCACTATTTCATTTTCCGTAATAGAAGGCAATACTCTAAAACGTATTACGTGGCTCAACTCAAATTCAGTTCTTTTTTGCTGCTCTAAGCAGAATTGTTTCCAGAATCATCTGTCTAATCAAACCACGCGGTTGAGAGATTTCACAAAATCTATTGTACAAATGAGTATTACAATGTTCATTCCATTGCTTTCTGTTGTTATCAATGTACTGTTTTAATACGGACAGACTGATTCCATAAAAATAATAATCAAAATAATGACCACATTTTACAAATATGGCATCAAGGTCAGTATATACTGTGGCGAACAATTGTTTTGATTTTTTTGTTAAAAAACGAAAACCCCAGCAGGTGGATAGTACAGACGAAACAGTCCTTCTCCCAGCCTCCTCCTCAGGCGCTTCGTTTTTTGCATGGCAGAGGCGAGCGCGAAACGAGTGACTGGGGATGAACCGCAAGGAACCATGGGAAAGGTACAGGCGGCAGGTGAAGCCCATTGTCTCCTTCCCGCCTTCCTTTGCGCGCACATTTTCATCAAAAGAGAGACGTGTGGGTACGAGGCAGGTCCTTCTCCCATCTGGTACAATTTGAAACTATTACATTTTAAAATTGTCAAAGAAGTGCTCGCGCTTCATGATTGCCGTAAGGCTAGTGCGAGCGTGCTTTTTTGATATATAATACACGAAACCTTTAGTACGAGCGTGCACGGTCAATGTGGGACTAAGTGGGATTTCATTCATCATTTAGTAAATCAACAGCGTATATTACACTTTCAATAGAGCAATTTACTTGTAACTTTAGCATTAATTCTCTTGTTTAACCGCGTAGAACAGGGCACCGCAGGTTGTCAATGAAAGCCCCGCTGATCAAACTTTCTATCCTCCCTCTTCTTTCTTTGATGGACACAAGTATTTTTGTGATCAGCAGGAAGTTAAGTTTCTTTTCAATATATGACCGGCACAATATTTCCCCAGCGCGGAAGGCGATTTATGAGGATGTTCGCCTGTTTCGCTCGCTAGTTATCTCGGAAAAAAATATACCAATTTACACCACCTAGATTCTATAAAACAGTTACTGAATTCAATGTACTAATTTCAGTTGGTCGATAAGTTCTTGTTTTTGATTCTCGGGAAGAAAGGAGGCCCCTGCAGCGTTAAATGTCTGAAAAAATACAGCAGAAAGAAAATTACCTTCAAAGGCACCGTCTGATTAAATTTGACAAGAGGCTGCAAAAGTGGGTACCCATGCATTACATTCCGGAACTTAAGTTAGGTTATGATCAACTGCCAAGACCCCCGCATAAGACGGTCTTACATAATATAAGCAACACCCTACGCATAGCATGCGTTGGGATATTTAGGTTAAAAGGAGGAACAGTTTTGCTCGATTTTTTTCCTTCGCTTTAACGTTGGGTGAACCATCTCCCTTAAAGGCTGCATATTGATCTGAATGGGCAAATAAAACAAATTTCGTTTGTCTATTTATTGTATTTAATATTTGCTTTTTAGTACCCCAGTGGGCAAAGAAGCTAAGACTTAAATGTTGGGCTTTGCATACCCATCGCTTCCTGTCACGCTCACGTTTCAAAATGGCGTCTGACAGCGTGAAATGACTGACTCATTCCCAGTCTTTTCTTAGTCTCCTATCAATATTAGGCTGTTCACAGTCCCCTATTTTTCCGTACGATCGTCGAGATCAAAGGATTCGCTTTGAGTTTCAAGTCGATATATATAAAACCACGATGGCCGCCCGTACCGGTAAGAGGTCGATCCTGACGATCTTACGAAAAAAAATAGGAATCTGTGTACAGTCTATATCAATATTAGGGAGTTTTAGCAAAGACGACTGCAACGAAACGACAAAAAAGCAATAGACTTATATTAGCAAAACAACAACTTTGCACGTGCATCGCGCTTTTCGTTACACGAATACAAGGTGAAAGTGCCTAAATAAATTTCACATTTTGTCCAGGACGGAACGTAAGACAACAACTTTCTTATTCTTTTCCTGAACTTTGATACAGTCCTTTAGAATTCAACTCAAAAACATTTTGCCAACATTTGACGAATTAAACAAGATGTATGGAATAAGCGCGATAAAGTTTAAGGTAGCGCGAAATCACTTTTTAAGAATCGTTTTCGTAACAGTCGCCGTCCTTGATGTTAAAACTCCCTATTTACGAGTCGTGAGAAGCACGTTCAAGAAGAGCGCGAGGGGTGATGGGAAGGAGGAAAGAGGGAAAAGGCAGAGTCGCTTCCTGAGCTCACCATCACCCCCTGGGGCGCAAGCTTTTCGCGTTCCGTTCCTGTATCCAAATGTAGATACAGACGAATGGGGACGACTCAGGCGAAATGAAGCAAATAATGCACACATATAACCCAGCACTTCCACGCATTTCTAATATCCTACGCAAACATTTTAACATCTTACACTCCTCTAACCGTTGCAAAGACGTCTTTAAGCAAACGCCTTTTGTTGCTTACAGACGTAGCCCTAATCTTCGTGACATTTTAGTTAAAGTACAATTACCCGTTATCTCCACCAATCATTTTCCGCTAGGCTCCTTCCGCTGTGGAAAAAAATTGGGCCACTTGTCCATACATGATTAACAACATACCCTTTGCGCTACGGGTGAAACACGCTCCATCACTTCACACATTACTTGTAACACTAAAAACATGATCTACATAGTTCAATGTAACTGTTGTAATTTACAATACATAGGTGAAACTAAGCGACGTCTCAAGGACAGATTTAACGAAAACAGACGTGCAGTCGACAAAACTAACATTAAATCTAAACCCACTACTGTTTCTGAACACTTTCTACCTCACTCTAACCATTCTCATATTGACGTGCAGTTTATCCCACTAGTGAAAATTCATTCTTCACGTGACTCAGTTCGTAAGGCCAGGGAGTCGCATTTGATAGATAAGGCCATGACTCTAGAACCTCATGGCCTAAACCGCCGTGACGACTTATTGTAATCCATATCCTTAGTATTTTTCCTTTCCAGTTTTTGTGTTTTATGTCATTTCCGCCTCTCCCTTTTTTACAAAGAATTTTTATTGCGACATTCTCCATCTATATAATATTGTGATTCCTACATAAGTTCAGTAACATCTGTAAACCTGAAGAAGGCTGGTATGGCCAGCCGAAATATTGTTATGAAAAGACAATACACGTTGTTCTGAATCAGCTTTGCAGTAGTCTTAAGACTTTTCGTTTTTGGTTCTTTATATTTTGGCTGATTAGATCTCTTTTCTAGAGATCCAACGTTTACAACTAGCAGGTTCTTCATCGACGCCTTTTTGCAGTTAATTTAATCCCAGTTTATAATATAGGTCTTTGTATTTTTAACTTTATAGTCGGTGAGTAGTTTTTTAAAGTATTTTAGTATAATTTTACACACGATTCCTAAGA